AAGATTATTCAAATTTAAATGGTTTTCGGAGATGTAACTGTTTGAACACGATAATCCTCTTCTGTTTTCTGTCTCCGCAAAATTTTAAACGAGCTTTTCTCGAAAATGTCTTTTTATATACGATACTCTCGATTTCCTATTTGCTTTAAATTTTTACAGAGCCTTCTTTATAGACTTCTTTTCCATATTAACTAGACCCCCAAATTCCGATTCTTACTGATTTTAAAACTCGAGAACACCAAAAAAAAGTTGTAATTTAATTTTCAAGCAGCCGCTATTTTGTCAAAAGTCATTTCTTTTTGTCCGTAGTCCAAACGATTACGACATTATACTAGATTAATAATATAATTGTAGTTCAGTTTATTTGAAAGGCTAAAATCATGGATATGGACAAGTACCATTTTTATAAGATCCCCACTTCATCACCTTTTAGAATTAAAACCTTATGACTATTTTTAAATTTCATTTCTTTCTTATATTCCCATAACAATAATTAATAACTTAAAAAAAACAAATAATAAAAATATTGCTTGCCTATTTTTTACGGCCTTTTAAAAATCGCATAAAATTCATGTCTCTGACTTCCATTCCTAGACTTTGTTCCAGTTTATAATTTGACTTATTTTAATTTATCGAAAACGACAAAAATATAGAAACATAATTAAAGGTTAATTGTACTATTTAATGAATTAATATTTTAGTAGCGCTTGTACTTTATTAAAAAAAACTGCATCGTCTACAATATGCAGTCAGGAACAATGCTTCCTACACATCTGAAAATACAAATCCCTCGATATTATTATGCATGCAAAACAATAACGATAAGGAGAGTCCATATGACACACCTCATACTGTACAACGATGTGTACAAGATCACATTAAAAAACATAAAAAATATTTTGTATAATAATCAGAGGCGTTGTACTCTAACGGAAGAATATAAATAATGGGCCTTGCATCAGATCATCAACTAGAAATATGTAATTCAACTATGCTCCATAAAACATACAACTTTTCAACTCTACACAATATTCTTTAGTAGAATAAAAATGCATACTTGTAAAACAAAATACAAGACAAATGTAAAAAATTTTATATATTATTTGAATATACCCAAATGCGGAATGACGCAAAACTGATCTAAAGTAATGGCGCGTTGTGGTTAGAAACTTCCCAATTTATAAAGTTGTCTTTAAAAAATATGTTAATTTAAATGCAAATTTTCAGCACACTTGTTGAGTTTGGAAACTGTCGCCACCGTGCCAGCTGCACGCTCGGGATACGTACTGAAGGTACTGGGATCGAATCTTACAATTAACTAGTGGTGCATGGCATCGTGTTTTAAGGCAAATTGTTGAAACTCCACGTACCAAAAACCAATTAAAAAAAAACTTCAATTTTTTTTTCAAAACTATGCAAAAATTTGATTTTTGAATTTTTTTTTAAAAAAAAATGACTTTTTTGAAAAATTAGATTTTTTTGTATTTTGATTTTGTTTGAAAATTTTGTACTCATTATTATAATCTTCATAAAATATCTGATAATATAATGTGCATATGTCTAATGCTCATTTTTGACCGCCAAATGGCATGTTTTTTACTTATTTTACTAGATCTTCGAAACCGCTAGACCTACATTCCCAAAAATTTAATCAGTTCTTCATCTTGTCAATACAAGTAAAACGTTTTTTGAAATATTCAAATCAGACGCTCCGTTCTCTCAAAAATTGAAATACCATTTTTGGCACTTTTTGCCCCGTATATTCGAAATGGCTAAACCCGCCTTTGCCAAAAACTAATCAGCACTTCTCCTTATCAATAGGAATCAAATGAATTATCCAAATCGGTTTATCCGTGTTCGCAAAATCGTCGACGAAAAATTGTATCGGCATATACATCCATTTTTTCTAAGATATGCCAAAATATTCAGAAACGTCTGAAACGTAAAATTATATAAAAAATTTCATTTTCAATTTTTTGCGATTACTGTAACTTACTATAACTCTACGGAAAGTTAATAATAGAAATAAAATTGTGCATGTAATAAGAAATATGTATGATACATGTAACTTAATTAACTTCAATATTTGAACATTGATACATATGTAAAGCTGATGCATAAGTAACTAAAAAAAGATAATTTGAAATAAATAAAATAAGAAATGAATAAGCTAAAAATGCTGGTAGTGAAAGGTATAACAATATCACATTAGTGAAAAACTACGAAGTATAAAATGAAACAAAAAAATCTAAATTTATATGATATGATTTTGTTCAATAAGTATTGAATTTAATAAATTGAATATATTTTTAATTTATAATTGATTATAAATTAATTTAATATTATAAAATACTCTAAAATAAAATTATTAAAAATCGAGCATTTGCTAAACAAACGTATACTGTTATTGTAACAGCAAGCATTTTATTACAATTGAGCATGACTAATGTTTTGCAACAAGTTCCGTTCGCGGACAATGATGCCGCTTGGAATTTTACCGCGTTTCCACATGCTTTGTTCACTATATAATAACATAAACGAAATTAAACATTTCCAAGTTTAAAGTAGAAGCTGAGAGGAAATCCGCTACAAACCCCTTTGCAAACGTCATACTACTAGAATGCCGGTTACACCACTATGATAAGGATAGCCAACCAAAATTGAACCAACATTTTTACTAAAATTCTGATGATATGGTAAGTCATAGTAGTAACGCATATCTTTCAAACGTCCATCAAAATATAAATATACAACAAATTAGATATACTCAAATATTGAAATCCATTTCGATCAATTAAATGACCACAACAGGCAATTAATGTATGGGTATGTATGGGTTTGTAATGCATTTATTAACCTTAAATATGTGATCGCAAAATCTTATTCATATTATTATAGAGGAATTCTCACTGAGCGCCTTGTCTAATTTTGAAACAAAACTCCGAAGAAAAGGCAATTGTTGGCCGAACAATAACACAAAAGAATAATATATGTGCAAATGCAGAAACAGCGCTAGCGTTTTCATTCGATAAGTGAAACTGAAAGTTTATTCAGTACCGTTCTTGCACCAAATCTCATTCACTAACACGATTGTAATCATCAATTAGCTTAAATTTGATCAAAATTAATTCGGTTAATCTACTCCATATAAGAGGAATAATTGCCTTAAAGTTTTTCCGCAGAAATTAATTGCGGGCGAAGGATGTATTAAGTTCTGATGGCACAGACATTTGAAACCATTCCAGAACCTGTAAGATCTGCTTCGAACAGTTTTAGTAATCTAATGTTTCAATTTAGTAATGCAATGAATTACAACTTTAATAGTTTAAAGTGATAATTTGCAACATGTACATTATTATGTAAAAAACATCAATAATTGGTCATTTGTTTGATTCACAAGGACCAGCACCTTGTCTTAAAAAATAATGTAATTTTGATTGGCCATAAATATATGCATATATTTGGTTGATTTACCAAATACGTGTCAACCAACACTGTCAACGTTCGACATACGTTTTTTGGTACCATTCTTAACTGGCACATGGGAACTGCGGTAGTCCCACGATATGTAAAATTTCTTCTAAGTTTTGCAAAACATTGTAATTTACAACCGCTTGTGGTTAGAATGAAATTTGGTGAAGACGAGTTTAATAGTTACAGTTATAATGCATCAAATTATACAATACAATATGACAATGTTGATTGCAACTGAATACAAAGTACACCACAAATGTTACTTTGAACGTTACAAAATCAGTAGCCAATATAATTATTTATAGATTGAAATAAATTAGAACGAATTCAGCGATTTATAACTAATATATTTTCGTAAACAATTAAAACAAATACAAAATTTATGCATACATAATGTAAAATATATGAAATTCCACATGAAAAGAGAATACGGAATACATATATATTTAAGCAAATAAATAGTACACTCCGATTATATAATGCTAAGTAACTAAGATAAGAAGCTGTGTCGCCGGGGCGCACAGCAAGATCACTTTTCATAATTGTCTAAACTTAGATACACTAGATATATAAAACTAAGAAATTTTATGCTTGTTTAATAACAAAACTGGTTCTGCGACAAAATTTCTCAATTCATATCAAAACAGCGATTAATTGGGAGCAGTGATAATATTTACCACCTAACATATCGTCGGTAATAAACAAATTTAAAGGTTTCATCATAATTTTCAAATAAAATAGAGTCAGGTTTACCTAAAAAGTAGCTTTAGTCAAAATTTCACAATCAATTTCGCGCACGCTCTATAAAATAATTTAGATTAAAATAAATTATTCGAATCCATTTTGATCATTTATTTATTTTATCACAAAAAAATTATTCGTATTTGCGTTTAGACATAATTTAGACAATAACGGAATTAACAATTGCAATTCTAAATGATAAATAGAAGATAGAAAAAATATGACTGAAAATAAACTCTAGAGATGTAAAAGTAATCAGGTTTATTCTTATCTAAGTCTGATCAAAATATACAAAACGTGACGCATCAAAAATCAACAATACTCTATCTTTTCTTAATTAAATACATTAGTCCGGTGTGCGGATGTGTTTATAAATAGTATTAGGTGTTATATATTACAATATATTTTCGCAAAAATTAATAGTCGTAGTAAAAACGTCGGAATAAATAAAAAGCAATATCAAATGTCAATTGTTATGAGGGAATAAAAATTATAAAACAACAAATGAAATTTGAACTATAATAAATTAATGCTCCCTGGTCTATATAACATAATTAATAAAAGACAATAATTGTCTTCAAAAATTAACATCGTTCAAAAACATCTTTATATACAATATTATGGAAAAATAACCTAACTACACTATCATACACGGTATGATATTTATACATATATATATATGTATATATATACATGTTAGAAATAAAAAAAATCAAATGCAGTCACTTCAGATACACAAACAGTACTAAATGAGATTTATTATACTGCATGTAGCATCTCAATGATAAATGATTTGAGTCAATCCAAAGTTAAATATACACATGTGAATTCAAACACTGCACAAAGCACCTGAACACAACAACACATCCGATCCTTTCTCAACATCAGACGGCAAGTACGACGCACTATCATCCTTATGAGAGAAAAATCGTATCTCGAGATCTCGCAGACCGTTGAGCGAGGTGACGATTTCCGAGGAAACCTCAATCGGTGCCGCTCGCCATGTGCTTTTGGCCGCGCTGCGTCCTGCCCCGATCACTCCAGCGGCGGGAACAGGACATGCAGGAGCGTCCTCGTAACAGCTCCGACGCAATGCAGCCGGCGGCGTCAAAAACAACGAGTAGCACAACTGACCGGCATTCCAAATTTGTCCAGATGGGTCACAATAACGACACTGGCAATCGCTTGGTGCGCCAAGTGAATTGTCTTCTTCCTGAATTTCAGAAATGTCGTGGTGCAGCCGAGGTTCATCAGCGGTATCAGTTTTCGGAATGGCCTCAGGCTTTGTGTCAGACAAACTACTATTCACTATAACTTGGGGCGGGCACACCGGAGTTGACGTTTGCGTCACTAAATTCGAACCACTATTTGTACTGTTATTACAATTGCCAACACTGTTATTGCTACTTATAATCATTACAGGTTTACGGTCCTTTTTGCGTCTTTTTCGTGGTTTTATAATTCGAGGAACATAACTTTCAGAATTGCCCGACCCAGAACTTTCATCGCTGACCACACTAACTGTATCGATGCTACCCTTAGATGAATTATGACCGTCATCACGTGTAGGCAATTCGGCACTAATATAACTTGTTTGCAGAGATCTACTTTGTTGCTGATAAATATGATGATTGTGAGAATGTTGATGGTGCAAATGCTGCTGGTGGGAAATCTGCTGCTGATGTTGGTATTGTAGTTGGTTAAGATGATGATGCTGCAGATTGTTGTGAATATTGTTTGTGCTGCTAGTTGTATTATTATTGTTGCGTCTATACCGACCACTCAAAATAAGTGGTGCGCCCTGAGTATGCATGGCCAAGCGCGATAAAGAGCAGTCCTCATAATCAGCAGCCTTACGATTTCTTGGTCTGGACATCGATAACATGGGCATTCCCGACCAACCTGGAGGTCCTTGGAAACCGTGTCCAGGCAATGACATTTTTGGAGTCGCATTGGCAGAACAAAGGGTCGCAGGTCCGTGCTTGCCGTGGGATTTGGGATTTGGCCGTGCGAGCTGAGATATCAGACAACTTCCGATATATCGCTCCACGTGCAGATTTCCTCCGTGCGAGGACGGACTCATGTTGTATCGAATATCCAACTATCAAGTACACATTTTATCCATATTGTCATGCACACTGCTTTAATTGTCATATTTCGAACAGTCTCCGTTCACATCGCGCAATCCACACATACGGATTATAATGATCACAATTAAACAATTACGAACTGCAGCAGTCACAAATCACCGCGAGAATTATCATTCGCTATCGAAGCGGTGTCAAAACACACACACCTCCTTGTCACAACACCGAAGACCCACTGACTAAATGTAACTAAACTGACCAAAGTATGAAATATACAACAATATTACAACTACATTTGAAAAGCATTTATAATAAAGAGAAATCTTCCAAGACGCGATACTCTTCTGTCGGACGTCGTTTCCGCGTTGACAGAACGGGACACCGATATCACGGGCGAACGAGACGAAACGTTGCGGACGAGAGAGACGGAATATAGTGAATGGAAGGGGAGTCGCGACGAGTGGTCGTGCTTGCTTGCACTAACCCACATACGATTTCACGTGAGATATTCGCTGCAAACGGTGTGCCTCACGCCTCGAGCGCCGCGAGCAGGCCGATGCGGTTGCGATGCACACAGTACTAGTACTAGTACTAGTACTAGCGCTAGTATAACAGTCGCCCTATCTCACATGTTGCGTGTGACATTTGTACGATTGACTCTCGTTAGCTCGGACCGTACAAATCGCGGTATATTGACGGCATGTGCATGTGCCGAGGCACATTTGAATCGCCGTCAAAGAGATGTCACACTATCATAAAATGTATACAAACATACTATGATTGCATATTTTACAATTATTTGCAAATTGCAAGAAGCATAGAAGAATATATTTAACATTTTCATGTTTCACGGAAAAAGCGAGGATGTAATTCTAGCAGTATATAAAGCAGATGGTGCATCCTCTAATTGACATTAAACGATTAATGTTATTGTAAGGTGAATTATTAACTTCCCGTAGGGTAAGTTATTGTAATGGGCCGAAAATCGGAATTGAAAATTTTTACATTTCTCGACGTTTTGAAGGTTTCTGAACATTTTGGCATACTTCAAGAAAAATGGATGTGTGTGTGTGTGCATGTATGTATGTATGTATGGAATGATCTAAAAAACATTCAATTAGTAATGATTGAGAGAAGGGGTTATTAGTTTTTCGCAAAGATAGGCCCAGCCACTTCGGAGATACAGAGCTAAATGTACAAAAAATGGCAGTTTTTGAAAGAACTAAGCGTCAGATTCAATTGATTTAAAGAACTTTCTGCTTGTCTTAACAAAATAATTGATTTTGGAAAAAAAAATTGTTTCATTTTTTTTTTTTTAATTTTTTGTATATCGAAAATAATAATTCAGATTTTATTTTTAATTCTGACTATAGTTCTAATATACTTTAAACAAATAATTTCAACTCTGCAATTCAGTTTATATAATTCTTATAAATATTAGACAATGTTACAATATTTATAATAATCTATTTGAAAATATTCAATATTCCTCGAACATTTTGTTACGGTACGGGAAGTTTCAGCAATTTGCCTTAAGGCACGATGCCACCCACCCCACTAGTTTATTGTTAATATTCAAAACTATTGGTGCCTAGCACCGTGCCTTAAAGCAAATTTCTGGAATTTTCTGTACCGTAATTTGAAATTTTTAAACGCTTTATTTTTTTTTTAATTGTTGAAAGTTATCGAGTTGTAATTCTTTGAAATTTTAGAATTTTTAAAATATATTCAATTCTGTTGAACCATACCGACGAAAATGTCGAGGAATTGTTTGAACCTTACATAGTTCAAAATCAAACTTTAAACATAACAAATCTTGACATTGAACGTAACGAAATGAAAACAAATATTGTACTTATTATTAAAATCTCAATCTAAATTAAAAAGTGCATATGTCCATTGCTCATTATTGACCGACAAATGCAATAATTTTTTCCAGATTTGTAAAACAGCTAGACTTGCCTTCCTTCAATCAATTCTTCATTCTGTTATTTTTAAATCATTCAAATCGGTTAATCCGTGCTCTGGGAATCGCCGACGAAAAATTGTATCCGCGCACGCACACACACACCCATTCTTTCTAACAATAAGGAATGCTAAAATGTTCAGAAGACGAAAGATATGGGTCATTCTTTCGCAAAGGAAGGAACAAATCGCAACAATTTTAGGAAAAATAAAATGTCACATTTTAGAATTGGCCCATTACTATAACATACCCTACGTAAAGTATTAATACCTTATTCACACAGTGAAATGTATAATTCGTAAAAAGTCTATTTTATTAAACATTTTACCATTATGCGATATTATCAAATGAATTTTGCGCATCAATTTTATTACTATTGTTTTTCACTCAAAAACAGATTGTTAGCATATATTTTATCCACACAAATATTTTACCACACAAATATTTTGCCACACATCCATTTGTGACAAAATGTCCACACTTGAAAATTTTTGCCATAATTAAAAAAAGCGCAATGTTCATTTTTTAATTATATGGAATAATAAGAGAAACAGTATCAATAGAAATTTTATTCACATACAGACAGACAATAGAGAAACAAAACTAGGGAATATGGAACGGCATGTTTATTATGTGAACGACATATTTTTATTATAGTAACGCATAGTTTTCCGCATTGTGCGACAAAATACTGCATAATATTATACAGAAGTTAATACAAAATTTTTAAATTTATAAGTAAACGTAATAATTCAAATTAAAAACGCAAAAAAGTTTACAACAATATTTAATATTTCCATTTTCAGAGAAAAAAACATTTTTAACTCTTCATAAATTATTATTTTTAAATCTGATGAATAGTTATTTTTAACTTTCCGTAGAATAAATATGATAATATAATTTGTAAATTCGAAATTTGTGTGTGGTACGTATCAATCTGACATATTTCCGAGAGAATTGTTGATTATATTTTAACGATTGAGAAGTTAAGGTTTTAATAATATGTATTATTATTAGGGATTTTAGTACTTTTAGACCCGTTACTAAAATGAAAATTATCTAAATTCACACTAAATAATCATAAAATTATTTCTAAGCGACCTTTAACTATCCATGTAACTCATTTGAAAGAAAAGTAAATCGTCAATTTTAAGTCAATTTTCAGGCGGGACACAAAGATCCAATTTGACTTTGAGCAATTATATTGTGAAAACCACAACAAATAACAAACATCAAACAAACAACTATCTGACTATGTTCAGTAAAACTCCCAGCTCATCCATCATTGCAGAAATATGGTTTTTAGCTGTTTTTCAAACCTGGTCCATAGGGAGAATAAATGGGACGGCCAGGGGGCAAACAGGTCCAATGTCTTATTTTTAATTTTAAAGGGATTTTACGAAATAATTGCTACGTTGTTTAACCAATGCAAATTATAAATTTCAAGAGTACATTTTTATAAAGATAACACTATATATATATATATATATATATATATATATATATATACGTATATATATATAATCTAGATTTGGTATTTCGTCAGAAATATTCATCAACAAAGTAGTAATAACAATTAATTTAATTTATTTCTTGTAATATTGCATTTTTTCAACTTAATTTACAATTTTTATTGTTTACACCTTTGCAAGGGTAAAGGTTCAGTTGATCCTTTTTACCCCACCCAGACGTATGCTTTTATAGAGGTTATATAAAAATTTAAATTAACTCAAAATCAACAATACATCTTATAAAACATTTAAGTAATGAATTGTTAAAAACTATATTAAGGTCTCGTAAACTAAACAACAGTGCTCACCATCAAAAAACTAAAAACGAAAGAAAATACTTTTGTTATGAATTTTCAAACAAGCTCGTTTATTTCATAATAGCAACATCGTATAAAGAATCAAGATTATGGCTGGTTACACATCTTTTGCCCTGTACTTTCAAATATTGTTGTTTAAAAATTCGCAACTTTACTTATTTTTGAGATATCATTGGTGAACTCTTATGAAAATAGAATCGAGAAGACCAATTCTTTCAATAATATTCATAGTCATATAATTTTTTATGATTGTTGTGTCCAATCTATTATATTTTTAAATTTTAAATAATATGATTTAAACATTTAACCAACTTTCAAGTTTATAGAGAATAGATGAGTTTCTTTTAAAGTATAAACAATGAGAATATTTTTCATAAACATAAAAATTGTGAAACATATATACACTTGTGTGGTCTATCAAATAATGCATAATAAAGTTAAAAATTGTAATATTTTTGACTTTTCGATCCATTAATTGAAAGACCACAAAGGTAGGTGTATATATATTTTACAATTTTGCATGGTTAGAAATTTTATACATAAAAATCAAATAAATGTAAAATAAAGTAAAATCTTACCTTGAAGATTATCCAACATGTAAGTAAGAAGTTTCAGAGTCCCATTTGGTTCATTGTAAATAGAGAGAACCTCCTTGTTAAGAGGATTCCCATGAAGGCCTAAAATATGCAGGTGAAACAGCTTACCGATTTCATAGGGCAATACTCGCAAATAGTTATTATTAAGAAGTAGTTCTCTGAAATAAAAAATCCATATAAATATAAAGACAATAAGAACTAAAATAGATAATATAATATAATAAATAAATGTTATATAATAGAAGAAACATAATTGTGCATAAACCATTTTGAAAAATTCAAAACCAAAGTAGCGATTTTTTTTCTCTGTTTTAAACGAAACCTGTTTTAATTAATCGTATTAAATTAAATAAGAACATTTCATAAGAACAAACTGATTTGTAGAAGTTTTACAAAATTGTGACAATAGATCCCAAATCAAATGAAATAAAAATATAAACAAAATTGTTAAAAAATGTATCACATTAGTTTAACTAAGAGAAAGTAAAAATTTTCCGCGAGAAATTTATAATTTTTAATGAACTTGTCAGGTTCCAATGTAATAGAAATATATGACATCTTAACATGTATGTTACAATAATAATTACTAAGGTTAATAAGTTAAAAAGTAAGAAAACTAGTAGGGTGTATGGCATCGTGCATTAAGGCAAATTGCTGGAACTTCCCGTACCGTAACGAAATGTTCGAGAAATATTGAATGTTTTCAAATAGATTATTATAAATATTGTAACACTGTCTAATATTTATAGGAATTATATAAACTGAATTGGAAAGTTAAAATTATTTGTTTAAAGTACATTAGAACTTTAGTCAGAATTACAGAACTACGATTAAAATCTGAATTATTTTAGATATACAAAAAAAAAATTGAAAAAAAAAAAATCGAAAAAAAAAATTTTGAAACAATTTTTTTTTCCAAAATCAATTATTTTGTTAAAACAAGCAAAAAGTTCTTTGAATCATTGAAATCGGACTCTTAGTTCTCTCAAAAACTGCCAATTTTTGCACATTTAGCTCTGTATCTCCGAAATGGCTAGACCTGCCTTTGCCAAAAACTAATAACCACTTCTTCCAACCATTACTAATTGAATGTTTTTTAGATCATTCAAATCCGATACTCCGTTCTCTCAAAAACTCGATTCCTATTTTCTGCACTCTTTGCTCTTGATTTCCGTAACTGCTGGACCTGCCTTTGCCAAAAACTAATCAGCACATCTCCCTATCAATAGGAATCGAATGTTTTTTGAACCATTCAAATCGGTTGATCCGTGCGCCCGAAAACGTGGACGAAAAATTGTATTCATACATACATACATACATAGACACACACATCCTTTTTTTCTGAGGTATGCCAAAATGTTCAGAAACCTTCAAAACGTCGAGAAATGTAAAAATTTTCAATGTCGATTTTCAGCCCATTACAATAACTTACCCTACGGGAAGTTAATAATTAACAAACAGTGTCACCACATATCTCCTATACTAATAACAACAATCTTTTTGCCATATATAAAATTTAAAGCAATATTTAAATAAAATACTTTCAAGAAACATCGTTCAAAAAAATATATTCATTGCGTGTAGAGGAGCAAACAGCTTATTGTAACAGGTGTAACTAGTAACAGTCGTTTTTCAAAAAGATCTTAAAGAATATTAAAATATTTTTTTGTCTTGATTGGACATGTAAACCGTCCTGCATAATATTATCATGGCCATTATTACGCAGGCAATGCAGCAAACAGAATTGTACAGGTGCGTTATTTTCGACAGGTAATATAAAATTGAACCAATATGAATTTTTGGTTTTATTATTATTATCGATTTTATATTTTATTTCGTTTCCAATTTAAAACGTTCAAATTGTTTATCTTGATTAATGCAAAAAAATCACACCTGAGGTTAGTTGAAACAAAACCTTGGGTCTAAATGTAACATACAAAAATTATATACAGATTCAAGTGAAGATGATTGGGTGGAATATATATGTTTTTAAGATGAGATCACATGTAAATTGTGTTACAGGAGACACAAAAAACTTGAATAAAGCCCCTAGCTGCCTTACTAATGGACATAGAGAAAGAAATGACAAGATACAGCAACTATTTGACGATTGTTCAATAAATTATGAACAAAATATAGAAATCTATAATTATATTAATTATATAAACACACCAACAAAATCCTAACACAATACAATTTCTAGATATATTCTAGAACAAATTGTAATTTTATCCATTAATAAGTATCGCATACTAAACTTTATAGACTTCTCTTATTTTGTAAAATTTTTATTTATGATAAAATAATTTCTTAATAATAAACTCTAGCTCAAAATAATAAAATGTTCAATTTGTTCAACTCGTCATAGTGGTATAATTTAATCTTCTACAAGATTATATTTGAGTAAAATGCTCATATTGTTTATCAAAAATCGATTAAATCATTTTGTAAATTCTTTTAGTAAATTTTTATTACTCTTGAAGAATGAAAAAAATATTTCACACGCCTCATCAAAAATTCATTAAGGTTCATCGATTTATAAGTAAAATGATTTATCTGAATATGAAAAAAATTATAAAAATATACTTCTCGTTATATTACCTTCAAAGTATATAGAAACTAGTGGGGCGCATGGCATCGTGCCTGAAGGCAAATTGCTGGAACTTGCTGGTACCAAAAATTATTTTTTTAAAAAAGATTAACATTTTTGAAAAAAAAAATACTCTGAAAGAATTAGATTTTTGAGAAACTAGAAATTTTTGACAAAAATTTACTTTTTTTAAAAAAAAAACTTTGAAAAAAAATTTATTTTGAAATATTTTGGAAATTCTGAACTTTTTTTCAAAGCAATCGTACTGCTTTAACCCTTCGTCGGTCGGATATTTATTCACCTTCGAACCTTTTTTTTACTAGATTTCCGAAACCGCTAAACCTGCCTTCATGAAAATTTAATCAGTTCTTCATCTTGTTAATATAAGTAAAATGTTTTTTGAATTATTCTAATCGGACGCTCCGTTCTCTTAAAAACTGAGTTATCGTTTTTGGCACTTTTTGCCCCGTATCTTCGGAACGGCTAGGCCTGCCTTCGCCAAAAACTAATCAGCACGTCTCCTTATCAATACGAATCGAATGTTTTTTTAATTATTCAAATCGCTTCAGCCGTGTTCCCGAAATAGTCGACGAAAATTTGTATCCGCACACACACACATACATTTTCTAAGGTATGCCAACATGTTCAGAAGGTTTTGAAACGTAAAGATATATAAAAATTTTCATTTTCCATTTTTTTGCGATTACTATAACTTGCCCTACGGGAAGTTAAAAATAAATATGATTTTACCCGAAAATCCTATTTGCTACTTTTGCGAATCGTTTGGTATATAAATTAGAATTATGTGTCTGTATATCGATTGAACATTTCCAGCAAGAACGCCGAAGAAAAATTTTGCATTTTTTTTATGTAAGTTCTAAAAGTCATATTTGGGCTCACATAGAAACCCACACAAACTTTGGAAAAAACATAATTAGAAAACAGGATAAATATCCTAAATAGGACGATAGAACAAACATCCTAAAATATTATAGGCCTAGAACAAATAATTTAAAATAAAAATTCATTAAAATTTAGAATATTAGGCCGTGTTGAAATTTCAAAATCCTATGGTCACAATTTGACAAGTTGCTAAATCACAATTCATATTGATTACGTCATTGTATACAATATATTGGGAAGTTTTTGCAACTTACCTTAAGGCTTAATGCCACTTACATATATTATATTCACACTTATATTAAATTCAAATACTAAACCATACCAAATTCAAATAGAAGATAACAAAAAAGTCAAAATGAACAATATATGAAACATTGACTGGAAGCAGCCATCGACGCTGACAATTGAATAGAAATTTTAAAATGTTGTAAGTAGTAAAAATAATATAATAAATGGCAAATTAAAATCAATATTTTCTTTAAATTAATCGTTTTTTATATTCACTTACACTCGTTAGACACGTATTCATTATCTATATTATCAAGTGAAAATTAATATAACTACTGCTTGATATCAGGTTGTTCAAAACTACCAAAACCATGTTTGAATAAATATTTCAAATTTTAATAATATTAAACACAATGAATAAAAAATTTGACTCTGCGTATGCAAAAACAACTGTTATACTACAAAAGCTTTAGAATTATTATGTCGAATATTTAATATGTTGTTATATTATTACAACTAAGTATGTATTCTATTTATTAGTATTTATTACTCCACTATTTTCTCATCCACAACCGCACATATGAAAAATGACATTATTTATCAAAGTTCATGATATATATTCAACATTAATAACAGAATGATATTCACACATAGTAAAATCAATTTTTGTATTTATTTATAGTCGTAAATTTTTAATGTCAATATTATCATTATTATTGGTTTAAGAGTTCGTGGCGCGAGTGGTTAAGAGTGGCCTTGAAACCACAAGGTCAAGAGTTCAAAACCCTCGCTATATACCCGCGTCCTGGTGTCAAGCAGTAGCGAAATCAGTTTTCAATTAAAGTTGATCCGAATATGTTTCCATGAAAAAAATAACTAACTTTAATTGCTGTGTTCTAATAGCGCTCAGACGTAAAATAAAATAAAGTACTAATTGGTATTGGTATGTTGCCTTGAGGCAAGTTACATGAACTTCCCGATATGTGTAAATAATCGACTTAATCAATAAAATAGAAATTGATTTATGAGTGATTAAAAGTTTTCCGAGTGTATTTATTACACATCATTAAAAACGAACGAACACTCTATCGTTATACCAAGTAAACCGTCTAATTTTAATTTTAACGAACGTCAAAAAAACTACTCATTTTCTCAAACTTTGACAAATTTTTAAAATTAAACTGATTGTCATAAGGCCGTTATATTTCAGTAAGTTCTATAAAACCATGATATATATCGCCAAAAAAGTTCAATAAAAATCGGCTTAAATTTATAGTTAATTACAAGAAAAGGGCTCGGTAGATTTGCACCTAAAACTAAATCAGTATCATTCCCAACTAATATCTTTCAAACAGTTTTTGATTTTTTTAAATCGATTGTGTAGTAATTAACGAGCTTAAATGTAGACGAAAAGTTACCACTTTTTTCCAAATTACA